TAAGAATCTGTGATTGAAATGTCTCAAGTTTCATTTGTTTGCCTTATTTGGTTACAGATATATCGTGGTGCTTTTTGCGTCAAGCAACAATATTCTTAAATGGCTAACTTTCTTTATCAATTTTGGGTGGAATATAAGCATGTCAAACGAAAGTCAAGCACGGATGCTTTAGGGTCGCAGGATGATAAACCATGGATTTGTTCGCACAATCTAGCGGTCACTATTGCAAGGCCAATTTAATAATCACTTCCAGCCAACTTAATCTTCGAAATGAAAAGTTGAAGCATCATAAAACCTAGTTCCGTCTGATTTATTTTAAGTAGGATTTCGAGATTATCGTTAGACTTTTATTAAGAGCTTGGGTCACCCCAGGTCGTTTGAAGTAATAATGAGGGTGAATTTTCCCACAATGAGAATAGTAGTCCTCTGGATGCCGTTGAAATTCCATTAGACTTGCTTCTTAAAAGCTGTCCTTGTTCTTCACCTTAAGCCGTCTAGGGTGACTAGCGCTCTTATCCAAGATGTACTCATAGTCTCAAAATCAAGTAATATCATCAACTGTATTGGCAAATAAATGTTTGCCTCAGCTACAATTCCACACTAAAAATGTGGTATGAAATAGGAAAAGCTTGCCATGAAAACAACTTGCCCCATGATCGAGTGGTACTCGTGGCATAATGACGTAACGAGAAAATAATAGGTTCATCAAAAAAACCCGATCTTGCGCAATCAGAGTGATGGTTATAACTTAAATGTAGAAAGGGAGAGATAGGGGTCATCAAACCTTGATGGCCAAAGACAGACGTTCCTTTTTTGTTGTCCTAATTACTTCGGACCATCACTTCGGGTTTCGTGCATAAGCGAGCACAAGCAGGCACATACAAATACAGAGACAGACACACCCACATGCATCGAAGTTGACATATGACCTTAACTAAACAAATCACTTTATACATGTAGATACGAAGAGAAACTGGGTTTCGATGAATCTTCTGAGATAGCATTGTTAGGGGGACCTTCATTTCGTATGAAAGTACATGAAGAAGAGATTCGTTGGTCGATTTCAC